TGGTTAGTACCAGGGTTTGAACTCAGGGAAGCTGTTCAGCTCACTGGTTCATCTTCTTTCCATATTCCCCCCAATCTATAATTAAATGCAGGCAGTGCACTGGGTCATCTTCGTGTATTCTCTTGATTTTTAACACAGGAAATGAATTAGAAATATAATTTTTCTTTTGATGTTACTATGTTATTTGACTCCTTTATTTAATTGTATCTTTAAGGGGTGAGAACATAGCTCAGTGGCAGAACACTTGCCTAGCATGTGCTAGAGCCTACGTTTAATCCACAGCACCGCAAAGAAATTTTAAAAATTTTAAAGTTGTAATTGTATCCTTACGTAATTATTATATTACAGTAGTTAAACTGAAGTCCCATTTTTTTGAGAGAAGAGTTTTGAGTATTTATCATTTGATTATATTTATTCCTCTCTGCATCTAAAGCTGTCACCTTAGGTCAAGCCCTTTTGTTACATTTGTCTTGGACCTTTGTAAATAGCTCTTCTCTCAATCCACCATCTCTCTACTTTCGCTACCTACTTTTTCACATCTTTCTATATACATTGCCCTCAGGATATTCTTCCTAAGTCACTAAAACATATATCATCCCCCTTCTCAAAAACATTGCCTGTGTAATAAAATACAGACCCTTTAACCTGATGTAACCTAGTTCCAGATTCTTATTTCTTATTTAGCTGCATTGACTTTATACTCTGACCAACTGACCACCTCACTGTCTAGTCACGTTTTCTACCCTTGCTTGATTCCTGGTCTGCCTTATTCTTGGATTCCTAATCCCTGCTGTTGTCTCTTTTTTTCTAGCTTTGAATATCCTACTTATCTTTCAAAGGCCCAGCTCAAATTTAGATAGAAGAAAGCGTTTTGGAATATCTATTAATTATCTATTTTTGCATAACAAACCATTCCAACCTGGTGGCTTAAAACAACAAACATTTTATTGTAATTGTGTCTGTTGGTTGGACTATTTACCTGCTGTTTTCTCCCAAGTTTATTTGTATGGCTACATTCAATTGATTGGCTAGGCCTCAGCTGAGTTGGGACAACTGAACCTCTCTCTGTTTTCCTGTTGTCTTTCACCTGAAAGAGGTTAGACCAGGTTTCTTAATATGTAGTCTCTGGGCAACTTTCCAGAGAAGCTAAACCCAATGCAAAAACACTTATCAAGCCTGTTTCCTCCAAATTTGCTGATGTCCCATTGGCCAAACAAGTCACTTGGTCAAACTCAGTCCAAGAGGAAACTATATACACATGGCATGGATATCGAGAGATATAACTTACTGGTGTAGCAGTCTACCATCTGGCCCCAGAGATTCACATTCTTTTCAAATGTAGAACATAATCACCTCTCAAGAACCCAAACTCTCTTCCATTTCATGGCATCAAGCTGAGAATCCTTGATCTCATGATTTATGTTAGGTCAAGATAAGGATTTTGGCTCTTTGGATACAGTTTCTCTTCATTCAGGGATCTGGGAGCTAAAAGGAAAAGTTGTCTATCTCGACACTACCACCACATATACAATAGTGAATCAGGGGCAAGATAATCATAGTAGTCACTTTCATTAAAAAAGAGGGAGCTGGGCTTTGTGATATGTGCCCATAGTCCCAGCTACTTAGGAGGTCAAGACAGGATTGATAGTGCCTGGAAATTGGGCCCGCCTGGGCATCATAGTAAGAACCCATCTCTCTCTCTCTCTCTTTTTTTAAGAAGGAGAAATGGGAGATGCATTGTCACTAGTCCATAGCAATTCTGAAATCCAGCTGGGCATGTGTTGTCAGTGCCACCTACCTATGAACAAGGAATATTTCTTGATTAAGACCAGTTTTGCTGAATAATAAACATTCAAAAAAAATTTTTTAAATAATAAAAAATTTTAAAAAATTTTTTAAAAGACCAGTTTTGCTACCTATTAGTGGTTTCCTAATCCACTGTTCTCTGTGGCTCTTAGTTCTGTCTTGAGCTATCTTCCCTTTTCAGTGAGAAATGGTCATATTTTTACCTCATACCGTCTCAGCCTGCTTCTTGTGCACAGAAAGTTAGCATCCAAAAACTCTTCTTCCCCCTCATCTTAAACCATCTGTTTCTTTTAACCAAACTCATACAACTTTCTCGAAACCTTTTTGGGATTTCTGTGAACCTGGTTCATGCTCCGTGTCATAAAAGCCACATCCATAATTGTTTTTGAGACAGACCTCTATACTCTGAACTGAGTGAGGCTGCTGTGGGACAATATCCTTAAAATTTACAGAAGCTCTTTTGTCTAACTAAATCTTCAAATTTTGAGGTCTTTACAAAGGGTGATGTGGCCAAGTCTCTGATTTTTTTTTTTTTTCCTAATACCACTTATTACTTTGGGAATCTTGTTTGGAGATACTAGAAATGTGAAACAGCTTTCTTTTCAACCTAACAAGCCTTTGCTCCTTTATTGTTCCTTTAAAACTGAACAACTTTCTTTAGCTCCACAAAAGCATGGAAACCAAGAGCTGTGATTCACATGGCGCCATTTGTAATGGTTAGATTCCAGAAGATTTCCAGCTTTACATTACTGGGTATTCTTGGAAACCCAGTTGTGTGCAACAATTTTCTCAACTATAAAAATTAGTTAATAATACCACACGGTTGTGATAAGGTTTGAATTTTTAATAATTACTTGTTTTCTGTGATTATGGAAGTAATACTTTGGTCATTGAACAAACTAGGAAATTTTTAAAAAGGAAATAGCATTTCCTGAAATCCTACCTAATACAGCTCCTCAGAGCCTTTTCTGTCTTTGTTTCTATTTAAAGTGTGTGCATGTGTGTGTGTGTGTGTGTGTGTGTGTGTGTGTGTGTGTGTGTACCCATGCTCTTATTCTGAAAGGTAAGGTCCTTGAAGGAATAGACTTCATCTCTGTAAATTTCAAACCTTTGCATTCAGAACAAAAAAAGATAATATATATTAAAGTGCTTAGCCCAGAGTTTTGCACAAATTATATTCCCACTTAAATTGGCATTCTGTTAGATCCTACCAAGGATTCTCAGGAATCTTTAAGTTAGAGTTTTGAAAAAGAAGCAGAAGAAGAAGGCTGAGTGTGAAGTACCTAAATTGAACTGGGAACTGGGTACCAGTGACTCATGCCTATAATCCTAGCTACTTGGGAGGCTGAGATCAGGAGGATCAAGGCTCAGGACCAGTCCTGGCAAATAGTTTGTGAAACCCCATCCTCAAAATAGCCAGAGCAAAATGGACTAGAGGTATGGTAGAGCACCTGCTTTGCAAGTCCAAAGCCCTGAGTTTAAACCACAGTCCCACCAAAAAAATTTTTTAAATAAATGGAACTGGGGTGGGGGTGGGTAACCCTCAACTTCTCTCTGAGGCATCCTTGTGACTTATGGGGTAGAAAGTGAGGAGCATTATAGAGAAGAAGGTGTCAGGATCTGCTTATTGATGCCAGACTACTCAGCAAGAGGCCTCTATTAAGAGCTTCATTAAAAAGGAAGAACCCCTCCCTAAAACAATAAGATTCATCTGTGGACTATTTTATTGTTGAAAATGAAGTCTGACACTAGTGATAAAATGATATTCCTCATAGACAAACTTATCTTTATGTTGTAGTCAAAGAAGTTTGGCAGAGATCACAGAACTTATCCACACTGCTCTCCTTGTGCATCGTGGGATAGTGAATTTAAGTGAATTGCAGTCTTCTGATGGACCACTGAAAGACATGCAGTTTGGAAATAAAATAGCTATCCTGAGTGGAGACTTCCTTCTAGCAAATGCCTGCAATGGACTAGCGCTGCTACAGAACACAAAGGTAAAAATGAACAGGGTTTGCTTGTGCCTGTATGGCCTTGCTTGGGCCAAGGTGGCTCTTGGTTGGCTGCTGGAGCCACAGAGGCCTGTGTGCCCTGCCGCCCAACACCCCCCCCTTACATAAATGCTTAGTAACCTCTGATGAAAGCAATGATGGCAATGTAAATACCAGGCAAAACTAGTAAATGCTAGATTCTTGAAGAGCCAAGAATAGTGGCATAGCCTATAATACTAGCACTCAAGAGGCAAAGGAAGGAGCATCTTGAGTTCAAGGCCAGCCTGGGCTACATAGCCAGTCCTGTCTCAAAAAAAAAAAAAGGACTTTTGAACTTCAATTTTTTGGTCACTGTGAATGAAATTATTTGTTAATAAGAGGACAGGACTACATATTCAAAATGGGAAAATATAAATAACTGGGTATGGTAGTACATGCTTGTAATCCCAGCACTCAGGAGACTGAGGTAGGAAGATCATTATTTCAAGGCTAGTCTGGGCTACACAGCAAGACCCTGTCTCATGAAACAAAACAAACAAAAAACATATATGAATAAATTTTACTTGTAATCTTATTAAACAGTGGACTAAGTCAATAGTTCAATATATTTCTTTGTAGTTTTTTTGTCTTGTTTTTGGTTGTTGTTCATTCATAACTTTAAATAAGGAATCTTTTTTGTAACACAGGTAGGAACTAATTTACGTATGTATAAGTTTTTTTTACCTTGCCTGTTTTACCCACTGCATATAATGATGTGAGCATTTCCCCACATTGCTAATACTCTTCATAAATTTTTAATGTTGCATAATACCTATTCATTTAGATATTATATTTTTATTTAAAAATTCCTCATTGAGATTTAGTCTGCTTCTTATTTTTATCTGTCACAAATTGATCTGCAGTAAATGCCTTTGTACATCAATGTTCCCCATTCCAGATTATTTCTTTAAGGTAAATAAATATTGAATAGTTCAGAGACCTTAAGCATTTTTAGTATGATGAATACTTTAAAAAAAAAAAAAAAAAAATACTAGAAAGTAGGCAAAAAGACAGTGCCTATGAAAATATTTGAGCTAGTATGTTTACATTATTAAATATTTTAAAAATTAGGATTGATTGTGTCTTCTATTTATCAAATTTCCTTTGAGTTTATTTGCAAGTAACTCAGATCCTATAGTAAGAAGATTTTCTCAATTTAAAATACTATGATCTACCAAGAAGAATCAATTGAAGATACTGATAATTTAAAAATAATTAATTATAAAATGCAACCTTAAGAATATTGCTGAGGGAACTTCTGAAATAATAGCACAGATAAGAGCACAGATTAGAAACCATGTGACTCCATGAGAAGAGTCAGGATAACAAAGGAAAGACTATATTTCCAGGAGAGAAAAAGAAGAGCATCCGGAAGCAAGAGATAGGTGACAGGACAGCTAAAAGACACAGAAGTATAAAGGTGACACAGAGAAAAATAGGAAACCCTCTGCAGGTTAAATCTGGCTGGGGTAGGGAATATTGAAGCTGTAATCACAAGGTAAGGCAAGCGGCCCTGGGGGCAACAAAAACCCACAGTTCTCATAAACCTTAAATCCATGGTGGAGATTTGGTGGGACAAAGAAAGAAAGATACATACAAGCACAAGAACTGAGAAAGAATAAATCTCACTTAAAGAATAGATAAGCAAATAGGGAGGAATTAAACATTAACTTTGTAAACCAGCAAAACTGTAAGATGAAGAAGTGAGATTATCCTAAATGTAAATGGTTTTAAGTGCCCAATTAAAAGATGCAGAGTGTTTGAATTAATTAAAAGACAATAATCCGACTCTTTGCTGTCTGCAAGAAACTCACCTCACTGGCAAAGCTAAACACAGAATGAAAATTAAAAGTTGGAAAATGATATTACAAGCAAACAGGAGTTGCTATATGTATATCCAACAAAGCATACCTCAAGACAAAATTAGTCAGAAGGGATAAAGAAGGTTGCTACATATCAATAAAGGAAGCAGCTTCAAGAAGATACAACAATTATAAGTATAAATATGCATTGAATGTTGGTGCACCCAATTTCATAAAATAAATACTACTGACATAAAGAGACAGATAAGTGGGTGCCAATAACTCACACCTGTAACCCTGGCTGCTTGGGAGCTGAGTATCATGGTTCAAGGATAGCCCAGGTAAATAGTTCATAAGATTCCATCTCCAAAATAACCAGAGTAAAAGGGATTAGAAGTGTGGCTCAAATAGCAGAGTTCCTGCTTTGCAAGCATGAAGCCCTCACTTCAAACTCCAGGCTCACCAAAAAAACAAATAAAAAATAAAGAGACATCTAGCACTAAATACAATAATAGTGGATGACTTCAATGCCCCATTCTTACGAATAGATCATCTAGACAAAAGAATTAACAAAGAAATTGTAGAGTTAAACTGCACCACAGATCAAATGGACTTAATAGACATGTACAGATTATTCTATCTAATAGCTGTGGAATTCATATTTTCTCAGTAGGCCATGGAACGTTCTCCAAAATAGATCACATAAAGAAAGGCTTAACAAATAAAAAAAATGAAATAACTTCTTTTATCAGATCATGATGGAATAAAACTAGTAATCAACAGCAAGAGAAAGAATACAAGCACATGGAGATTGAATAATACATCTTCTAACAATCAATGAGTGAATCATTGAAAAGTTCAGGAAAAAATTTTAAAATTCCATTATCAGGTAAAAATGAAAACACAGCTTAACAAACCCTTTGGGATACAATGAAGGTAATTCTAAGAAGGAAATTTTATAGCTTTGAGTGCCAACATTAAAAAATCAGATCAAATCAAGAACAAATATGCACCTCCAGTTCTTAGAAAAACAAGAACAAGCTAAACCCAAAATTAGTAGATGGAAAGAAATAGTAAAAAATTGAGGTGAAAACTCAATGCAGTCTAAGCAAACAATATAAAGTCAACAAAACGAAGAGTTCTTTGTAAACACAAACGAGCAATAGGCAGGCCTTATGCTGAAAGTGGAAAAAATGAAAACATTTCCTCTACAATCATGAACAAGACAAGGGTGTTCACTCTCTACACTCTTATTCATTATAGTGCTTGAATTCTTAGCCAGACAAATTGGAAGTGTAAAGAAATAAAAGGGAGAGGTGGTAGAGTGGCTCAAGGGGTAGAGTGCCTGCCTAGCAAGTATGAGGCCCTGAGTTCAAGCCCCAGTACGAGAGAGAGAGAGCGAGAGAGAGAAAGAAAAGAAAAAGGATAAGACAGGAAAGGAAGAAGTCAAATTATCTCTATTTGCAGACGATATGATATTGTACTTAAATGACCCTAAAAACTCTACTAGAAAACTTTTAGATCTTATAAACATTTTCAGCAAAGTAGCAGGATACAAAATCAACATAATGAGAATCAGTAGCTTTTCTGTATACCATTAATGAACGTGCTGAGAGTGAGATCAGGAAAATGATCCCATTCACAATAGCCTCAAAATAAATAAAATATCTAGGAATAAACCAAACCAATGAGGTTGAAAGACCTGTACAATGAAAACAAGAAAACATTAAAGAAGTAAGTTGAAGAAGATACTAGAGGATGGAGAGACCTTTCATGTTCATGGATCATCAGAATCAATATCAAAATGGCTATAATACTGAAAGCAAGCTACAGTTCAATGCAGTGCCCATCAAAATTCCAGTGACAGTCTTCATGGAACTAGAAAAAAAAATCCTAAAATTTATATGGACGCATAAAACACTCTGAATACCTGAAATAATCCTGAGCCAAAAGAGCAATATTATTGAAGGTGTCACAATACCTGATTTCAAATTATCCTACAGAGCCATAATAACAAAAATAACATGGTACTGGCACAAAAACAAACATGTAGACCAATGAAACAAACACAGGCAATTTCAGCCATATGATTCTTGACAATAGTGCCAAGTACACACTTTGGAAAAATACAGCATCTCTAACAAGTGATGCTGGGGAAAAAATGGATATCCACATAAAGAAGACTGAAACTAGATCCCTGTCTTTCAGCCTGTACAAAAATCAATTAAAAATTGATCAAAGACCTTAATGTAAGGCTGGAAACTTTGATACTATTAGAGGAAAACAATGGGAAAGCACCTGAAGATATTTGCATAGGAACAACTTTCTGAATTGAATGCCCAAAACTCTGGAAATACAAGCAACAACTGAAAAATGGTATTGCTTCTAATTTTCTGCACAGTAAAGGAACCAATTACCAGAGTGAAAATGGAGAGAAAATCTTTGCCTACAAAATGGGAGAAAGTCTTTGCCACCTATTCATTTGACAGGGAATTAATATCCAGAATATGCAAAAAATTAAAAAAACTAAACACTAAAAGAACAGATAATCCAGTAATAATGAACTGAACATAAAGTTCTCAAAAGAAATACAGATGGCCAATAAATATATGAAAAATGAGGGCTGGAGGTGTGGCTCAAGTGGCAGAATACTTGCTTAACAAGCACAAGCTTCTGAATTCAAACCTCACATACATTAAAAAAATATATATTATTCAACATGTTTAGCCATCAGGGAAACACAAGTCAAAACTACAATGAGATTCCATCTCACACAAGTCAGAATGACCATGATTAAGAAAGTGAACAACCAGGGCTGAAAGTGTGGCTCAAGCAAGCATGAAGCCCTGAGTTCAAACCCCAGTACTGCCAAAAATAAAAAAAGAACAGAATAAATAACAATCTAAAATACATTTTGGAACAGAAAAGACAACATACCATGAAGCTGGGAATAAAGTCTTCTTGAACAGAAATGGGCAAGCTTCAGTCTTTCTACTGTGTTTTTACAGTATTCTATATACAATTTCCTTAAATTTAGGTAAATTTAGTGACAGTTAGCTAATGATGATGATTTAGTGGATGAAAAATCCAAAAGTAGAAAGAGGGAGGGAAGGAAGGAGAGAGGGAGGGGAAGTAGGGAAGAGAGGAAAGAAGGAAGGATAAAAC